GAACTTGGTGACGATGGCAGCAGGTTCACCATAGGCTGCAGCGGGATTCTAGCGTCCAGCTGCCTTTCTTGAACCTCAACATGTCTGATTGCTCCCTCATCACCCACACCATCTCATGCTGCGTGTCACACTCGTGTTCCCCGTATGCTCTTCTGTCCTCACGGTCATTGTGTAGGCTCTCTGACAATGCAATCCTCCATGCGCTGAGCTTTGTCTTGTCACTCTTGGAGGCACACATTAACTCATTAAATATGTCCTCCCGAGTCTTCTTTTTCCGCCTTCTAATCTGGGAAAGTCTCTGTCCCAGCGTAGAGGATGTGCTTACGGACAAGGTTTCACCTGCAAAGAACACAAAGCATGAGGGTAGCATTGACAGTGCATACATAGATTTAACCTTGCACCAGAAACTTTTTATAAAAGAAACCCCTCAATGCACTTCCGTGCAAGCCACAACTTAACCAGAACCGCTGACTACTGCAAGAGTCAGTTTGCTGCTCCGGCCATGATGAGTAAGGCCATGAGGCATGGGCGAGAGGTCTTGTGCTGCAGCTTTTGTTAAGACATGCTTGGGATCAATGGTTGCAATCTCAGCACAACCCCCTTTCCCATAGCAACCTGGATGGTGCTTGCGGACAGGCACCAGCGTAAAGACCCACAAATAGTTTGATTGTTACAAAAGCAGCACTGGCTGGGGTGGAAGGGAGACTAACAGGAAGCGTGCCCTGCCCCCCTTTTAAATGCTGGCTGCAATACGCGGTGATCCATTCCAACCACAGCCAGGGCACACTTGGGAAAGTGTGGTTGTGTGACCCAAACAGGGGCAGATTACTTATCAAATTGCTTGTGGTTCAAGGACTAGCATTTAAAACCTTCTCCTGTTTCCCCTAGGTGACCATATGCGATATCACTCTCCTGAGGGTAACAGAGGTGGAGAGGGAGCAGATGCTGCAAGCATCTGGGTACAGACCTGGTCCTTATGCTGCAACACTGCCAGAAGAGTTACTACTGGAGTGGTGCGGGAAAGTTTCCTATGTGGTGGACGACATAAGGCAGCTCTTCCCAGAAAGCTTCTGCAAAGGATTGCAGAGTACCTCCATGAAAGCTTCCTAGAGATCTCCAAGGATCATTCCTGGGCCATCCCTGGGCACATAAACAGTCTTTTCTGGAGAGCACCCTCTGTGTAGCTGGAGTGGCCGCCGATAACTTCTATCCCAATTTTTAAATTCAGATTTAAAAATAATAGCATGTAACCCCTACAGTCTGATTGAAAATGTGTACTCACCAGAGTGCCTTCCCCAGCATCATGCTCCGCCGACAACACTGGTCTACAATTTTTGAGAAGTCGTCTGCTTCAGAGATAAAAT